TGCCTGTAACTCATACCGACCCTATGTACAGTGACTTTGAAGCCTGCTCTATTCAATCCAGTCTCACTGACACCTATACATCTACCCTCATTACCATAGTTACTGTATCAAAATATCTCATCTAAAGTCTTCCTCTCCTGTGTTGTCTCTCCACCCATCCAAGCCTGATGTCCTTCTTTAAGGACTGGTCCTTCCTGACCATGTGGCCAAAGTATGAGAGCGAGAGCTTCAAAATCCTTAGCCTCCAAGGAGAAACTTGGTCTCACCCTTTTTTGTTTTCTTGGCAGTCCATGGTATGTTCAAGACTCATCTCGAGCACAACTCAAATTCTTCTGTCATCCTTAGTCATTATCCAGCTCTCTGATGAGTGACAAGTAATTGCAAAGACCATAGCCTGGATCAAGTGCACCTTAGTTTCTAGACTGACATCTTTGCTTCTCAGTATTCTCGAGAGGTCTCTGACAGCAGATTTTTCCATATGCATACAAGGAAGACCTGTTAACTATCATTCCAATTTATGCACCAACAATCAGAGCCAAAGAGGAGGAAATAGATGATTTCCACTAACTTTTGCAGAATCAATCAAACATACAACCTAGATGCATTAATAATAGGACACTGGAACGCAAAAGTAGTTGCAAAACATGGACTTGGTGAAAGAAATGAGGTTGGGGATAGAATTTTGCACAATTACTTATTCATAGCCAATACCTTTTGTAAGAAATATAAAAACAGGCTATACACATGGATTTCCCCTAATGGTATGAATAGGAATCAGAATGATTACATTTGTGGAAGTAATCTTTGGAGAAGTTTCAGTATCAGCAAGTGAAAATCAGGCCAGGTGCTGACTGTGGAACAGACCATCAGCAACTCATCTAAGTTCAAATTAAGGCTAACGAAGGTAAAATAAAAATTTATTGAGTCTATCCCGCCTAAATTTAAAAACCAACTCAGCTCAGGAACAGGTCTGAGGCCTTGAACACTAATGAATGAAGACCAGACAAGCTGTGGGAGGATATAAAGAATATCATCCATGAAGAATGCAAAAAAGGTCATGAAAAGACAGAGGAAGAAGAAAAGACCAAAATGGGTGTCAGAAGAGAATATCATGAAGACGGAGAAAACGGACACTGTCAAAGATTTTACTTTGACCCACAATCAACATTCAAGGCAGTAGTAAAGAAATCAAAAGACATATTGCATTGGGTAAAGTTATCAAGGACTCTTTAAAGTGATAAAGAGCAAAGACGTCTTTTTAAAGACCAAAGTGCACCTGATGCAAACTATGGTCTTTTCAATTACTTTCCAAGTATCTGAATGTTGGACAATGGATAAAAAGGAAAGAATTGATGCTTTTGAGTTGTTGTGTTAATGTACTGAATGTTCTACAGACTTCCCAAAGAGCAAACTGGTATGTCTTGGAGAAGGTGCCAGAATGCTCCTTGGTGTAAGGACAGTGAAGTTTTGTCTTACATACTTTGGGCATACTGTTAGGAGGGGCCATTCCTTGGAAAGCGATATTATGCAAGAAAAGGTGTAAAGTCAACAAGAGAGAGGAAGAGCCTCTACAAGATGCACTGACAAAGTGATCACAGCAACGGCCTCAAGTATGTCAGAATAGGATGGCGTAAAATAAGACAGGGTTCAGATCTGTTGTTCAGAGGGCTGCTGTGAGTCAACAGTACATAACAGTAAACCCTGTAAAATGGTTATGAACATGGTTCTGTGAAGTCTGTGTGGTCAATGCAATGGACTCTGGACTCAGTAAGTAGGTGTAGGAGTGTGGGAAGATGTGACTATATTCATGGGAATTAGTTTTGTTTTATGGATGCTGTTGATGGAAGGAATTCCCCCTGTAGAGTTCAGACTTCAACTCCTTTGCCCTAATTCCAGTTGACATCAGAAGAGGTAGGATTTGACGCAAAGGGTTCAGATTCAGAAACAAAAGGTTCTGTAAACTTGGGGCTTGGAAAGTACAGCTAAGATCAAGAATTCTGTTACTACAAATGGGGAATCTAACCACCAGGCAGGAAGAGGAAGCAGCAAATGCAGCACATGTCCTTTGGGGACAGAGGTTCTGGTGATTAGATTTTGCTGTATATGTGAATCACAATTCTCCAATAACCCCCATAACTGTGAGCATGCGTGGCTCTGTGAAGTCTATGTGGTCACTGCGGTGGACTTCAGTCTCAGTAATTAGGTGCAGGAATGTGGGAGGACATGACTTTACTCATGGGTATTAATTTTCTGTTGTGGAAGCTGTTGATGGGGGCATTTCCCCCTTGTAGACTTGGTCAGACTCAGCATTCTCCATGCCCTTGCCCTAATTTCAAGCAAGTATCATCACAAGTGCTACACATATATTGGATATTGATTTGGTAGAGTCACTGAATGCTTTAAATGGTTAAACATTTAACTACTAGTGAAAAGATTGGCAGTGTGAACCCACTCAGGGGTCCATCTTGTCTAAGAAGACATGCCTGGTAGTACACTTCTGAAATGTCACACAGTCTTGAAAACCCCAAGGAGCAGTCTACTCTGCACATACAGGGTTGACATGAACTGGAATTAATTTGCTAGCAACTAACTCAAATACTTAGCCTTCCTTGAACATACCACCAAAATGACCACAGAACTGTGCTAAACTCCATTTCAAATAGGGTACATGAATAAAAAGAAAAACCCACTGCCATTAATAGTATGGCTTTATTATACTTATCCTTTATTGTCCTCATGATTACAGGCTACAATGGGGAATTTTGAAATATATGAGAAAATTCTATAGAGAGAGAGGCTCAATCAACCTGAACAAGTATGTAGAAGATGGTTAAAACTTTGTATGTAGTGCTACTTAGTACTCAGCAATAGGTATGTGTCCTTTTCAAGCACAGGCTCTGGAGTCAGAGTTGTCAACACTGAACAGAAATACCAAGGATTCTAACACATTCATTCTACACAAGTGAGCATGGAGATATAGATATATATTTATATAATATATACAACACTTTAATATTATATTGGTCCACTGAGTATACATATTTTAACAAAAGATAGTAATCTATGTAATCCAGTTAAATATACATAAGATTAGGGTACACTTATTACATTGAAAGTTGGTGTATATAAGTTACTGATATTTAACATTTTCCAGAGTGTATTTTAAATACAAAAGAACATATTAAAAGCATTTCAAACTTCTGTTCATTTTCCCAGTGCAAAAAAGAAGGTAGTTCAAGTCAACTTACCTTTTTCCTGAAGAGTTAAGGGGAAGGAAAGATTGAAAAACCTATCACAACTCCCAACACTATTTTCTCAATCAATTTATGCAGGACATCCTTAGATCACTGGATTACTTTACCAAAATTAAAGCCTTGTGATGATGATTCAGCCCTTGCTTCATAGTGTATGACTTTTATGCTGAAATGTTTTTATTTATAAAAGTAGAAAAAAGCAGTGCAAGAAAGTGGTTTAAACTGTGTTTTGAACTGTAACAGTCCAATGATGCATGACGAGAGTGAGAAAAAAGCACCATTTCGAGATGAAATAGTTGGAAATTTTAAAATTTATTTAAGTTAGGCATTAAGTTAACCTGATTAAAGAAAACAAATACCACCCTAACTGGGTGATTCCAGAGAATTTGAATTTGTTTTTAGGTATATTTTTCTTTACCTTGGATAATTCAATAGATTATCTAAGTCATAACAGATATCTAAAAAATTAAAGTTATTCTGTAATTTACACTCAACTTTACAGTTTCAAATTCTGCTTGTCAGCTTGGTCAGTTTTACAGAAGAGCTTTCATCAGGTGAAGAACTTTGGTGATTGGCAGGACTCATGTCTCTTAATGAAAAAACATGTGTTTTTCCCCCCTAGTATGTTCATTTTATAGGTGAAGTATATGAAGAGAATATATAAACTATTTTTAAACCATGAAGATGAGAGAAAAAAAGCAACAATGTGATTTAATGTATATTACCTTCTTCACTTGTATTTGGTGAAAGATTTTTGTATTACAAGTCAAATAAGTGAGGCTTCATTTAGGAAAACAAAATTATATATACAAAAAATTAAAGTACCTTCTAGTTCTAGCTTGCTAATGTTTCTTCTGCAAAAGTACAAAAATAAATTTATCATGAACTAAGAGGTCAGTGCCACAGCAAAGGTAGAACAGCTGCCATGTTAGGACTTCTGCTTTACCTGACTAACAGGTACCTTTTAGGTGATAATTTTTTCCACTGTCTAGTAAGAGACAGAACTTAAAATGAGTATTTTCTTACAGATTTGATTTGTAAGAAACAAATTTAATTAATTAGAAAACACATGGAAAAGTGTCTGCTGATCTAAAATTCTTAAAATCCACAGAAATTGTGTTGTGGGTTTTTTTAAAATATATTTCACACATGAGGTTTTAATGTTTTTATTTAGGAAAAGATCAAATCTGAAGCTATAATGGCTCGCTCACCCTAAAGCATCCCTTTCAGTCTACGAAAAAAGTTTTCTTTGTCCCTAAAAAATAAACAGCATTTTTATTAAAAGGAAACACAATATGCACTTTAAACTAGCCAATCTGCACCATCATAAAAGCAGCAGAATGTTCTGACCCTTTCCCTTCCCCTTTCTCAAGCATTCAAATCAGAGGGGAAATACTGCAAACTTTTAAGAACCCCACTGGCTGCCCTCAGAGTAACCACTGAACAAGGGCAGTGCAAGGATGAAACTATATATCTATTTCTAGAAGGCAGAAGCTTGGGTGCTCTAAGTTTTACAAGTTAAAGTAGCACAGACAGGCAAAAGCTCACAGTAAATGCACACCAAAACAGGGGCCTTGGTGAAGTCACCTCACTGGGTTACTGCTTTTACAGAGGAGGGGAGACATATCTGAAATGGAGTAGAAAAAAAACTCAAACAAAAATCTAAACTTTTGTCACATTAACAGGAATCTCAAACCTTTTGTATCCCCATGCTCATAGGTAGTTTGGACACACATTGTAACTTGCTTCAGTATTCAGGAATAAGAGTGCTGTTGACAAAGGACGTAAGAATTCTTCATGCTTCTGATATCTCAGATTTGCTGAGTGCGATTGCCAGTTCCAAGTCTTCCTGTTCTTGCTGATTCAGTCGAGCAAGTCTCTGCTCTTCCTCTCTCTCACTTTCCCTCTTGGCCCATTCAATCATATCTTCTTCAGAGGGATACTGCCATTTGAAAGACCAAACAGATGAGTGAATGAAGGAATTAAATAAATAAGAAAACGTTTTTATTTTAACAAAAGGGCAGTAAGGATTTCTCACTATAGTATTATATATCGCTTAGTACATATTTTCCTCAAAAGACATTTAGATTTAACTAGTTATTAAACTGTTGTTTGATTTTAAAAATGAGTGCAGTCTACAAAGTCTATACAAACACTAAAACATCACTTTTAAAAAAGTAGTAGTGCTAAATGTAAATTAGACTGAACTACTAGTAGTAGTTCAACTAGTATAAGTATGAACAGTATTTCTACTTCAACTTTAGTGTCATCTTTTTAAAAAAAATTATTTTACATTGGTTTGCATATAAAACATTACATCATTTTAAACTTAATTCCTTGGGATTATTTTATACCTTGTTTTGGTCCTTAAGGAAAAGAAAACTACAAAGCAAAAAATAATGCTAATTTTTCTACACATAAGAATATAAGATAAGGAAAATGTTGTGATTCGATCTAGATAAAACCTTGTTGCTGGTGGAGTTGATTTGACTGAGGGTATGCAGAACAGAACCACTCTAATGTGCTTCTGAGTCTGTGACCTTTCAGAAGCAGCCAGCGATCTCCAGAGTCCTCTTTGGGTGTGTTCAAACCACTATCTTTCAACTAGCAGTTGAATGCTGAGCCATTTCCATCAACCAAGGATGGTTAAACAAAAACTTAACACTGGCAATTAGGTTAAAAGAAGTATTTTTATCCAACAAAAACAGCAATCTTGGAAAAAGACAGAATATTCTACTTTACTTAAAGCTGTAACATAGAGGAAGAAATGAGCAAAGAAAAAACAGACCCTTAAGAAACCTCAAACAAAAAACCTAAACTGCCAGCCTTTTTGAAATCAATAGCTTTTCATTCTTCATATCACTTATAATTATAGTAAAATACTACTGTTTGACTATTTTGCACATTAATGACATATGGCACTAATGAACATTGAGGTGCCAGGCAAGAGTAATGCTGACTGTGGTGCAGGTAAAGATTAAGTGTCACTTGGCTGGGCCATGGTTCTCCATGATTTGGCAATCATGTAATGCTATAATCATCCTTCATTTTGTGATCTGAAATGAGTATCCTCCGTTCTCGTAATGTCAATTTCCTCCTAAGTTCCTGATCTTTGAACCCTAGCCAATGTTGACAAGTGAGGAGTGGATTTATTTAATACGTTCTATAATTTAAAAAAAGGAAGATTATGGGCTGCTTTATATTGTAGTATATGGAGATTTTAGAACATGAAATAAGCAAATCACTTCAGCTATTGTTCAAGATTCATTCCAAGCCAGTTCTCATTTGCAGAAAAGATATTTATTTTTTACTAAATAAGAGAATTAGTATCTCCTAAGAAGGCCAATTTTCTGCTTTCTGCTTATAATAACTAAAATCTCGTCTAGCAAAAGTTATGTCAACATAAATCTGACACTATATTCTCATATTAAAAATAATGCTTTCTATTCTACTCCTTTAAATTTAGAAGTCATCACTGGAACTCTCCTGTGGTTAAGTTGGAATAAGAAACTGGGAAGCTCAGTCTAATTCTAGCTCCCTTAGGTGCAAGCAGATTTCTTGTCTACCTCCCTTTCTAACTAGAATCTGGTACAAAGATAAAGCAATTAGTTGGCTGATCAAATGCTATAGTGAGGAGGGAATACTGGGCAGAATATGGAGGAGGCTACCTGGTCACTTGACATCCTATTTCAGGAATAATTTAGGGTAGTTGTTAGGTATAGTCAAGTCAGAACCAATTAAAAATTGACCCTTCAACAGGTTTTAGAGGCTGTAAATTGCATGGAAGGATAGTGCCTATATTTTCGTCTCACAGAGAAACTGGTAGATCCAAACTGCATGCTTTAAAGCTCAACTACAACTCCTTACCATTTGGTCAAGTGGTAAGCAGAGGAAAATGCTTTCTTCCCATGAAATAATTGATTCTGACTCATAGCAATATTATGGACAGAGTACAATTGCTCTGTAGAGTTCCAATGTGATAAATATATTCTAAGAATTATAATTAAAAGAAATCCGAATAATGGTGGGAAACATGTCATTATGTTCCTTCAAAATGATGTTTCCATAACCAGTTGCCCCATTTTCTGTGTTCTTTGATTTGCTCATTATGCCATTATCACTTAGAATTCCATTGTTACTAATAGTCTGGCTATTCTAGTCACCACTGAGAGAAGGCAGAGTTAATATGAAAGGTACTAAATTAGAGCCCTGGAATAATGAAAAAGTTTTTTAGATCTTGACAATCATAATTGATAAAATTGATATTTATATTTTTAAAAAGCTACTAAATAAAGAAATCTTACTTTCTATTGAAAGAGGCCCTTGCTCAATCCTCTTTTCTCTAAGTTGCTGATGGTCATCACAGATCATCAAAACTTTAAGCACAAACACACATACACAGCTACAAGACACAAACTTATCATTAATTTGTCCAGGAAGCAAGACAGTGATTGACCCTGTATGGGCCTATTACATCACCACCTTATATTGCCCTTCAAGGCTAAGAGAAGGGTTCTCAAAATAACTTGTATAAAGAACAAGAACTAGGAAAACTAAGATTATTTTTGCAAAGAACACTTTTAGGACCATCAAAACAAATCAAACAGGTTTTGCTTGCTTGGGGGAAGAATGAAAGATCATTTTTAGGATACTGGTAAATTTAGTTGAAATAATGCAAATTTGGCAGACTCCAAGGTAATCCTTGAAAACTTCAAATTCTAAATGGAAATATTTTCCCCCAAACAGCCCGTTTACAGTACTTACAGCACTGAAGTTAGCAAAATTGCTTGGGTCAGCCTCTTTACTGGCAGTGGTAGTAGTAGAAGTAGTGAATGGATCGCAAAACATATCAGGATCTTTTTCTTTGGGACTATCATTGCCTGGGAAAGGCTGAAATGGATCTTTCAGTTTAAAGGGATCAGAAGAATCCAATTTGTTGATGGGTCTTTTTCCTGGATCAAAATCATTATAATTAACTCAACCAGCAAATACGGCAAACATCAACATACAAGAACATGAACAAGGGAGTATTAAAAACTGACAGTATGGGTACAAGGTGAATGTCTATAATATAAATTAAATGGTCACACCAAGAGTTTTTCTGTACATAACCACTCAAAACCCAAAATGTAATAATTTGTAGCTAAATGGGGGTAGGACTGTGGGATGGGAAGCAAATAATAAAGGAGAGTGAGTGCATCAGAAATTATATTTGTGTTCAGAGGTTAAAACTCCACTCCAAATCCCCAAAGAAGTATGCCCACAAAAGGAAAGGATAAAAGGAGAGGAGAATGACAAATAATAAAGGGAACACTCTCTGGTATTAGAACCTCATTGCTAATTATTCCACTATAGTGGCCGTATGTGCAAATGACCTTTAAAAAATGCCAAAATGATTTTATTTTCTCTGGATTCATACACGATACCTGAGACAACGAAACAGAAATGATGTTGGCACTATCCCACCCACTTTTTGCAATCACAATATTTCAAACAATAGAATAAAGAGAATGTTTTGAAGCCTCAAAGTTTTAGTGGTTGCTGATAAACATTTACAAAATAACAGCAAAGCATTCTGTTTCACTCAATAACTCATCATCATTTTCAAACAAGTTCTCTAATTTTAAAGCCTTCTTTAAAATTAGTATTTCTTAAAGAATACACACTAAATATTAAATATGTATTTTTAATACATATTTTTCCTAAATGCATTAAAAACTTGCAAGAGTAACGATAACAGGGCAAACATAAATGTATAAGAACATGAACTGGGGAGTATTAAAGAACTAGGAGTGTGGGGATGGAGTTGTGTGCCAGAAACACATCTCAATATTGCTTTAAATCACTGGAACTGCTACAAAAGACACTCATCTCTCCTTTCAAAAATCCTGTGAAGGTAGATAAAATGACTGTCACCATTTAACAGTTCAGGCAAGTATATAAAATTATACACTAAAGACCACAGGAGAGCCATGATTAGGACTCCCAGAGCAATGTCCTTTCCAATAAATAATCAGTAACCTGATAGTGTCAATCGATAAATGAGTGTTACCCATTGTACAAGGAATTCTTTATGTTGAAGAGAAAAAATCTGTTCAAGCAATACCATAGATGGTCTATAAACCTTCACACAAATCATAATAAAAATAATAAATAAATGAAAGAATGAATGAATGAAATGAAATGAAATGCCATGATGGGTTATTATGAAAAGGAAGAATAATAATCTCCAACTATTAGGGAAAAAATTTCAACAAGGAATGATATATGACAAACAATAATGTAGCACACAGCAGCACCATAACTACTCAAGCGATAACCTTTTTAGCCACTTTTCTTTTTTTAAAAAATTTATTTTTTAGCCACTTTTATAAACTTTAATATCTTCATTAAAAATAAAACAAAACAAAATTTTTTATATATGGGGGGAGAAATCCAAAGCTCCTAAAAATTGTTCCTGAAAAAAACATAATCAAAATTATAGTTTTTTTCCTAAACAAGGTAATTTAAGCTTTTCTTTAGAAAAAAAATAGTATTTTAAACTACTCTGAGTCTGGATCTCTAAATTCAGTCCTACATTACAGTAAAATACTGAGGTAGGACTTTACAACTGGCAAGAAAAGAAGAGGTCTTTGCATCAATGTTCTCTTGGAAAAAGAAATGAAAATCGAACTGTAGGAAACTGGTGTTCAAATGATGATCAATAAACTTTGAAAAAGTAGATCTCCTCTACACTTCATTTTTTCCCAATTGTTCTCTCTGTAAAATGATTTAAGAAAAACAATTAACTGGTACCAGAAAGGCCATTGATGAATTATATAAACTAATACCTAACACTGGACTTCTGTCATGTTTTCTAACTTAATATTTAAGGCCCTTTACATAATATATAAGTATACAAGATCTATAAAGCATTCTTTAGAAAGAGAAAAGACATCTGGTTGATTCAGAAAAGGTACCAACTCTCATACCAGGTGGGGGTGGGCAAGGTCTTGTTGGAGTTCCGATCTTTGGTGGCAAGGCTGGGGGTACATCTTCACTTTTGACTGATGTTTCCTCAAACACATTCTTTGTAGTGACCACATTAGTAGCAGAACTTGATGTGGCAGAACTAAATGGATCCTCACTGTTGACCTTTGTATGGAAAAAAAAGAGTTTAGGTATTGTTATACATATATGATAGCAAGCAAACAATGCATGACCAGGTGGCATTTGGAAGAATGATGGTAAATAAAACTTTATTTAATTTCTGAAAGCATTAGCATTTATTTAACTTTTGAAACCAGACAGACTTTACTTTTTGCATTGAAGGACAAAAAAGAGAAATCAAAAAAGAAAATATTCTAGGTTAGTAACCAAAACCTCTATTTGCCATCAAGTTGATTCCAATTCATACAACCGTCTATTGAATTTCCAAGGTGAATCTTTACAGGAGACTGCCCATCTTCCTCCTGAGTAGGACTTGGTGAATTCTAACTGCCAATTTTTCAGTTAGCAGACTGAAATGCTGTGTATTATACCAGCAGGGCTTCTTTGTACATGAATAGTTCTATCAAATCACTACTTATTAAGAGCAATAAATGATATCAAAACAAGCTAATTCTAAATATTTGTCAAACTTAGGAAATATTAAATACAAAACCATCTGAAGCTCATTTTTTAATTGAAATTTTAATAAGCATTTATAGAGACTTTGGATTTCCATTCATTCCTAGTTACACTTTTACTCCCTGCCCACCCCATCCCCTCAGTTGGTTTTTTCTTCGTAAAGTAAAAAAAAAAAACACCAAAAACCTTTCATTATTATATAATTCTCTCCAAGTCTACTCCCCCATGAAGCTCTCATTCTTGACTCTTGCCATGAAAATAATTCCTAATCATATATTCCTTTCAAACAGTTCTCCCCTTCATATATTTCAATGCAGTATTATTTTTCCCCTCTTTTCTTAGATTCCCCCCGAGCCCGATGTCAAACCTTTTTTATAACAGTGGCATTCTGCAGTATTTGTCCCTTTGTGACTGAGATATTTCACTCAGCATACTGTCCTCCAGGGTCACCCATTTTGTATCATAATTCATGAGTTCCTATACCATTATGTGAAAATACCACAACTTCTTTATCCATTTGTTTGTTGATGGGCACTTGGGTAGTTTCCCAACTTTTTGCTATTGTGAACAAAGCAGCAATAAACATGGGTGTGTACAGATCTGCTGGGGTGGAAGTTCTGGGTTCTCTAGGGTATATTCCCAGTAGTGCAATTGCTGGGTCAAATGGTATTTCTATTTCCAACTTTTGGAGAAAGCGTCACTCTGCCCTCCATAGTGGCTGCACCATTTAACACTCCCATCAACAGTGAATAAGGGTTCAAATTTTTCCAAAACCTTGCCAGCATCTGTTGTTTGCTGGTCTGTTGAATTTTGCTATTCTTACTGGGGTAAGATGATTATCTCATAGTTGTTTTGATTTGTATCTCTCTAAGAGCTAGGGATTTTGAACATTTCTTCACTTGTTTGCTTGCCATCTGAATGAAGTGTCTGTTCATATCCTGTGCCCATTTTTCAAATGGGTTGTTTACAATTTTCTTGTTACTGTGCTTGAGTATTCTGTAAATTCTAGATGTAAATCCCTTATCAGACATGTCATTACCAAGTATTTTTTCCTAGTCTGTGGCTTCCCTTTTTACCCTGTTGGAGAAAGTTTTGGATGCGCATGAGGGTTTTATTCTTAGAAGGTCCCATTCATCTATTTTATCTTCTCTTGGTTGTAGATTTTTCAGGATGCTTGGAAGATGTTAATGCTGTGGACTAGGGCTTCTAAAGTTCTTCCAAGCTTTTCTGTAATGAAGTTTATAGCCCTTGGTTTTAGTCCTATGTCCTTGATCCACTTTGAGTTGGTTTTTGTGTATGGAATGAGGTGTGGATCTTGTATGAGTTTTCTGCAGATAGTTTTCCAACTGAAGCTCATTGTAAAGGGAATGTACACCTTCCCTCAACTTAATACCTGATTCAAACGCTAAAGAAAAAAATGTTGATCTCATATATCCCAATGCACTTGAATGTAGAAGATTTGATACTAATGCAAGAGAAAATGGCATTTTGAAAAAAATCATAAAGACAATTTGAAAATGAACTTTTCAAAAATGAAATGACCCTACAGAATGACATTCTTAGCATAGATTAATGAAAGACGAACGTTTCCAACATTAATCAGACAATGATTTAAAATCTATTTAGACCAGCTTTTCAAAAAAATGGCACTACTGGACATTTTGTGTTGTTTTTAATTCTCTGCTAGAGGAAGGATGTTGCTGTCCTGTGCATGGTGGAACCATCCCTCAAGGTGTGACAACCTAAAAGGTCTCCCTCCAGTCATTGACAAATTGGTGGGTGGGTGGGGACGGCAAAAATCACTCCTGTTTGAAAACTAATGACACAATAAATTTGACATACATCCGAATCCTCACTTGATCTGAATCAATCAGAGAGCTACACTGGAAAGTGGTAGACAGAAGTGTTGGATTATGTATGTTTATCTTAATATTGACCCAGAAATTAAATGTGATTTAACTGGGAGAAACATGTAGGAAAAAAACAGAAAACTCTTAATACGATAAAGCACTAAATTAGATAAGTAAATGTGTTAACAGAAAATTAGAAATTATGAATATCTTTACTATAGTCAAGTACAGAAATGTCTAAATTAATGACATTTATTCTTTTTCAATGTACAATCATCATTTGCTGTGGCTTATTGAAATCAAGCGGCAATATTTCTGAGAGGATTATGTAATTTTAAAAAGAAATTGCTCATTTTGCAGAAACACAGTATATATTTCATCCTAGTAATCATTGCAGGTTACCTTTGACAATGTGCTGAAGTCAGCAAATCCATCTCCAAATGATTCATTTCCAAAAACAGAAGCAAAGGGATCTGTGGCTAAAATAAAGAAAATCAATGCAAGAGTCCAAAAACATCACATCTCATGCTTCACAGAGAGAAAAATATCTAATCCCACATATTAATTCCTAAATTTAAGACTAAAGTTCACAGTAGAGTACACATAGAAAATCATGATATATATTTCTTTGTATAAATCAATTATGAATGATTTAAGGTCAAACCTATTGTTGTTAAATGCCATTGAGTCGACTACAACTCAAAGTGAACCTATGAATAACAAATCCAAACTTTGCTCTATCCTGTGCCATCCACATCATCTCTGATATAGATGAACCCACTGTTACAGTCACTGTGTCAATTCATCTCAATGAGGGTCATCCTTTCCTTTGCTGACCCTCTACTTTCTAAACACGATGCCCTGTAAGATCAAACACAGGTGAACTGTTACAGGCTTTGGGATATGAATAAAATAATTTATCTCCTAGGCCAGGAGCTGACTGTCGAACAGACCATCAACTACTCATATGCAACTTCAAGCTGAAGCTGAGGAAAATAAAACCAAATCCACGGGAACCAAAATATGACTTTGAGTCTATCCCACCTGAATTTCAGAACCATCTCAGGAACAGGTTTGAGGCCTTCAACACTAATGAGCAAAGACCAGATGAGTTGTGGGAGGATATCAAAGGTATCACCCAGGAAGAGTGCAAACGGTTATTACAAAGACAGAAGAGGAAGAGAAGACCAAAATGGATGTCAGAAGAAACTCTGAAGATTGCACTGGAGCACAGAGAAGCCAAAGCACAAGGAAGAACTCAAGATACTAAAGAGTTGAACAGAAGATTTCAAAAGGCAGCATAGGATGACAAAGTAAAATATTACAATGAAATGTGCAAGGAGTTGTTGGAGTCAGAAAATCAAAAGGGCCAAACTCGCTCAGCATTTCTTAAGCTCAAGGAACTGAAGAACAAATTCAAACCTCGAGTTGCTATAATCAAGGTGCTTTAGGCAGAATATTAAATGATCCAGGAAGTAGTAAAAGAAGATGGAAGGAATATACTGAGTCATTATATAGAAAGGAATTGGCAGATACAGAGGAAATTAAAGAAACAACATATGAGCAAAAGCCTATGGTGATGAAGGAAGAAGTTCAAGCTGCTTTGAAAGAAATAACAAAAAATAAGGCCCCAGGAATAGATGTTATACCAATTGACATATTTCAGCTAACAGGTGTTGCCCTTGACGTGCTCACCAAGTTGTGCCAAGAAATCTGGAGAAGAACCACATGGCCAACTGACTGGAAGAGATATTTGTTCCTATCCCAAAGAACCGTGACCCAACAGAGTGTGGAAACTATTCAACAGTATCATTAATTTCACATGCAAGCAAGATTCTACTGAAGATTATCCAAAAGCACATCAGCAGAGAACTGCCAGAAGTTCAGGCTGGGTTTAGAAGGGGTCATGGTACTAGGGATATTGTAGCTGATGTTAGATGGCTCTTAGCTGAAAGCAGGGAATACCAGAGGAATATCTATCTGTGTTTCATTGACTATGCAAAGGCGTTTGACTGTGTGGATCATAACAAACTGTGGCTGACTCTGAGGAGAATGGGAATCCCAGAACACTTGATCATGCTAATGAGAAATCTATACTTGAACCAAGAGGCAGTCATCAGAACAGAGCAAGGAAACACTGCATGTTTCAAAATTAGGAAGGGCGTACGCCAAGGATGTGTCCTGTCTCCATACCCTTTCAACCTGTATGCAGAACCAATTATCTGGGAGGCTGGGCTCATGCAGAACAAATTATCTGGGAGGCTGGGCTCTATGAGGAGAAATGTGGGATCAAGATTGGTGGAAGAGCAACAATCTGCGATATGCAGATGACACAATCCTGCTTGCTGAAACTGAGGAGGACCTGAAGTGCTTGCTGCAGAGGGTCAAGGACTGCAGCCTCCAGTATGGATTGAGACTCAATGTCAAGAAAACAAAGATTCTCACCACTGGGCCAACTGGAAGCATCAGGATGGATGGTGAAGAGATTGAGATTGTTCACAGCTTTAGTTTGCGTGGCTTCATAGTCAACACTCTTGGCACCAGTAGCCACGAAATTAAAAGGTGTATTGCCATGGGAAAGTCTGCTGTTAGAGACCGCTCCAGAGTACTGAAGAGCAATGGTGTCTCTCTGGAGACTAAGGTGCATCTGATACAGGCCATGGTCTTTGCGAACACTTGTTATGCATCAGAGAGTTGGACAATGACCACAGAGGATAGAAGGAGAATTGATAACTTTGAGTTGTGGTGCTGGAGAAGAGTCTTGAGGGTACCATGGACTGCTAGGAAAACAAACAGATTTGCCCTAGAAAGGGTTAAACCGGGCGGCTCCTTGGAGGCAAGGATTCTGATGCTCCGTCTAACGTACTTTGGGCATGTTGTAATGAGGGAGAGGTCCTTGGAGAGGGACATCATGCTTGGCAGGGTGGAGGGACAGCGCAGGAGGGGAAGGCGCTCTGTGAGGTGGATTGATTCAGTGACTGGGGCAATCGGGATGGGTGTATCGGAGATGCTGCAACTGGCACAGGACAGAGCGGAGTTTAGGGCTGTTGTACATAGGGTCGCTATGAGTCGCAAGCAACTCGACGGCACCTAACAAGAACAAGAACAACAACAACAACAACAACAACAACGTAAAAGACATGAAGTGGAAAAAGTTAGACATCATTCATCCCATATCGCACATTCAACCTTTTCAAAAGAATGCCCATTTCTTTAAAAGCGTGGAATATTCCAAGTGTTTGCAATTCTCACAGGAGGAGATAATTTCTTCCTTGCACTGACTTATTCTAGTTTGATTTATGGTTATCTGTGACTCATGTATCACCCTTATTAGACTGCCTAGGCCTTAAGAACAGGGGACAAGGTTTATTCGCTGAAGAAATAGTTAATGAACTATTTATTTATGACCATTCTCTAAGTTCAAGAAAACAAGTGTTAATCCTTGAAAAATTCAGTCTAATGAGAAACATGTAAACAAACAATAACATAGTCTGATAAGTGCTATTTAAGGATGTAGGGGAGAAAAAACCCCTGTACTGGGAGTCATTATTGGGGAAAATTCAGAAAATGTATCAAAAAGTCATTCTATTTGAGTTAGATTCTTTGAAATAACTCTCCCATCCAGGACCTAGTATCATCAAGTGGATTCAAACATAAGGGACCTTATATGACAGAGCAGAATTGTTCCATGTAGTTTCTAAAGCTGTATATCTGTATGGAAGCAAACTGTCTCATCTTTCTCCAGTGGAACAGCTAGTGGATTTGAACTATCAACCTTGAAATTAATATGCAAGCATTTTAACCATTATGCTGTCAGGGTTCATATAAAACTTTAGAATACAAAATAAGGCTTACTGGATGGTAAAGTTGAGCAGTTTGAAATCACCTAGAGGCACCTGGGAAAACTGGCTTAACCATCTGCTTCTAGAACGTCAGACCCTTGAGAACTCTATAAAGCAGTTCTACTTTGAACACAGGGTCATGAATCAGAACTGACTCAAAGGCAACTAACTACTATAACATATTAGCATATAAAAAGTGATAAAATTCCTAGTATTCAAGAGGGGAAGATGAGAGAGGAAGAAGTAGATAACTAAAGCATTTCCTGTTTTAAGTTTCTGCTGTTCTTTAGGCAAGCACATGAGAGCTTACTATTTGTGGTAATGGGGGGAAGGGTTATAAAGGCAAATGAGACAAAGTCCCTGGTCTCGTAGAGCTTTGGTTCCAGTGAGAAAAAAAGAGACAAACAAGAAAGTATAAGATATAAATATGACCCAGAGGAATGTGACTGAGCTGTCTGTAGGAATACCTAGGAGAAGAATTTCTTGACTAGAGGAAGAATCCCTAAGATGGGCATGAGCTAGCCATACTTAGTAGTATTGAGATCAGGTGCACAGGGGTGTGTTTATAAACAGTGAACCTTGGAATATTTACAGGTGTCTGGGTATTGATCCTCTTACTCCCAGTAAGGTGGGATAGGAATGAGGTACAAACATCTTCATTTTTTTTAATATGTGTGCCAGAAATAGAAAAGGTTTGGAAAATGTGAGGTTGCCCATGGAAAGATTAAACATAGTTCTTAGAAAATTGAGAAGCTGTTTTTGCTTCGACAGCACATACACGAAAATGGGAAGAATACAAGATTAGCATGGCCCCTGCTCAAGGATGACATGCAAATTTGTGAAGCGTTCCATATTTTTTGAAAAGAAAAAATAAAAGAAAATTAAGATGCCAACAGAAAGATAAAAGCAAAGGAGTGATATGATTATACTTGTTTTGTTCATTACCATCTGACTGTTGTGTGGCTCATTAATTGTAATGGAACAAAAGAAAGTGAGACACTAGTTGGGAGGCTATTATAATAGGTCAAAAGACAGAGGACAGTGACATAAGCGAGGGTGGCAGTTATGAAGAAGGAAAGAGGTAGATTAACGACACATTTTAAAGGTAATTTCAGAAGGAAAGAAGGATCAAAGATGATTTCTTAAGTGTTCAGTTTGAGCAAAGGGACAGATTGTAGAATAGATTAAAACATACGTGGAGGGAAAGGCAAGCGCTCTATTTTGGACATGTCAAGTTTGAGATGCTTATCAGATGTCTGAGCAGAGATATTTTGGCAGGTTGGTATGAGTCTGTAGGAAAGAAGTCAAAGTATAAAAAGGAAAATGGAATTATCTTTAACATACAGGGAGCTACTGACCCAAAGGCTTGAATCTACCAGCTGCTCCACAAGAGAAAAAAAATGGGCAATCTCTCATGTGATTTACAGCCTGAGAACCTGCTAAAGGGTCAGTTACGAGTTGGTTTTGACTTAATAGCACATAACAACAACAACTTTATCATATATTATTTAAAGCCATTCAAGTGAATGAAGACAACACTGGAAGCTGTTGGGACAGTCCATCTGTAGGGTACTGTGTTACTAACTTAAAGGCTGTGTTTCCAGCAGTTCAAATCCACCAGCTGCTCTGAGGGTGAA